ATTTATTTATTTTTTAATCTTTTTTTTTAATAACCATCTTTCATCCTGGTCTCTCGCGCCCCCCCTTTCATGCCTCTGCGCCCCCCAGGGCCACTGCCCTAGGGAATTAAAATTGTTGATATTGATGTCAACTTACATTTTCAAAGCCTTTTAATGAAGTGGACGATTAACAAATTCAAGTTCAGCTCAGGTCGTGTCCACTGATTCATGGAAGCCATAAAATGTCGAAGAAAGAGCTCAAAAATGTATCTGTTAAGCACATTGAATAATTCCTGAAAACAATGGCTGTACTATGAGGCCAACAATGTGTTTTCAGTGCCTTTTACTTCTTGTTTACATGCCTTTAATAATTGAGGCTTAAGAATGCTGTGGTGTTTTTGGAAGAAAAGGTTTATTGATCTATTTCCTTGAAGTTGACTTTGTTTCTCTTGTGAGGTCACTCTCTAAACTGTTCTTAATATCCTCCTCCTTTACTTTGTCTTCTGAGTAGGTCAAACTGAACTGTCTCTAACAATACTGAACCGTGACCTAAAAAAGTGTGCAAAATATCGCAAATACCGTCCTTGAACCCCAAAAATTATGTTTATTGACGATTAAGTGGTGAGGGTTAGAAAAGGGAGTTTGGTTAGTTAGTTTGGTACACACACACACACACACACACACACACACACACACACACACACACACACACACACACACACACACACACACACACACACACACACACACACACACACACACACACACACAGTCTCACCCTTCCTGTGGAGGGGATCAGGACGATGAGGGCCACGCAGAAAGCCAAGGACAGCACCAGACCGGTCAGCATGGCGGGAGTTTCCTCCACACACTGCAGGAAGGCCCTGTGAAACGCCTGATAGCAGCAGCACACCCCCTCCTTCACACTCTGCCTCGACCGGGTGCTTTTCTTGTCTTCTCCTCTGTCCTCGTCGTCCCACCTGACGTCGATGCTGTCCCGTGTTTGTGGGAGTTTGAATGGCGTTGTTGGTGAACTGCCACTCAAAGAAGAGTCTGTTTTAAAAATGCCTCGATCATCATCCGGACTTCTGTTGCTGTTTTTAACGCTGTCTGCGGAGATTTTGACAGGAGAGGTTTGATTTGTCTTTTCGAATCCATCGAGCTCCGATATCTCTTTGCCAACGTTGGATTTTGTGCTATTTTCTACGACTTGTTGCCTATCAGAGGAAGAGTTGACCAGGTTAGCGTGATCTGTTGTTGTTGTTCCCTTCATCAAAGATTCCAGAGGTTCAGGGCTCTGCTCTTTTTTAGCCACACCGACCTCGACGGAAACAGGAGATTTGCTTTTATTGAACGCGCCGTCATTCCCTTTCAAAGTGTCACTGCTTAATCCGTCTTTTGTTTTACTGAAGTCGTCCAGCTCCATGATGTTACCTCCGATGTTTTTCCCCTCTCCATCGATAGACTTTACCGCAAAGTCTGGCACTAAAGCCACTTTTGGCGCTTCGTCTTCTCCAGTTCTGCTCTTGTCCGTAAAACCTTGCGACTCGTCTGGCATCGTGACCTGTGTGAGTGAGAGGGATCTCCTCGTCTAGCCCCTTGTCACTTTACTTTTTCTTGAAGTCTGTCTCTGTCTACATGATAAAAACACATGAGGGTAGTGACGTCATTAGTTTTTCACCTGTCAGCTGTTGTTTATATATATGCAGAAAGGACTTTTGACTGCATGTCAAACACCGAATTCTTCTTTGATGATCACTGAGGCATACTGGAGGGAATCGCTGCCAAAAAAAAAAGAGATAAACAATAAGAAAGGTTAAAACACAACAACAAATACAATCATTCAGAGATTAGCTGAATTATATTGTACCTGTGTCCCTAGCAAAGTCCAATAATGAGAGCAGGGAAGTTACACCTGCTCATTGTTTTCATGCCATTATAATGAGACACTTCCTTCAATCATTTCCCCATTATGCAAAAAAAACTTGTTATACTAGCTACAAGTTCTTCCACTGCAACACACACACACACACACACACACACACACACACACACACACACACACACACACACACACACACACACACACACACACACACACACACACACACACACACACACACACACACACACGTACACACACACACGTACACACACACACGTACACACACTAACAGGTGTGTAAAGGAATTAAGTTTCAGCGACGCACCCAGCTCACATTAAAAACATTTTTCACCGGTAACCTCCACCTACATTCAGTCGCTTCTTCCCCATCATGTGACTGCACAGATTACCTTTGTCAGATCCAATGTATGTCACCATCAATTTTAGGATTTAAAATATTTAATCTGCCTCTTCTGCTACAGGTTTATCTGATGTAATATAGAAGAGAGGGATTAAACCGTATCTGATTAATAATGTTACCGAAATTGACCTGCGGCGAGTGTTAAAAACCTCGTGCTTTGTCCTTTACATTACATCAATATGGCTTCTTTGTTGACTTTTACAAAAGGGTGTACCGTGTGTCTTTTTTGTTTAAGTCTGACACACTTTAAACTCTGGCACTGTGTGGTAATGACAGTGCATTTATTGTTGTCCACTGCAGTCCCTTTTCCCTGTTCTAAAGAATAAAGAAAGAGGGGTTTTCCGAAACTTACTCAGATGTTTTTTGCTTTCAAATCAAACCAAGGAAATGTTATATTTTAACTTAAATGGTTCGGTTTATTCAGTGTCTTCCAAGTTAAGATGAAGTTGGACACCGTTAATTTGACTTACAGTGACTTTTAGAGAACTAACAATAGAAAATAAAGACAATTATTGAAGAGTATTATGTTGTATTTTAACCTTTGGAAGCAATTTTACCAACTTAATAGATACACTCAATCCATAAGCCTTGTTGTTTTGATATAAAATGCCTATCGTAAGACCTCCAATTGCTTGTTTGAAACCCCCCACAGATATTCACATTATCATATCAGAGAGCAAACAGCAGAACAAATATAAATAGAAATGTGTGTAAGTGGACCAATATAATCTGTCCAACCACACCATTCACAAATACAAAGCTGCATATTGAATGTTTTATTATTGAATTACCAAAGGAGTATTATGGCAAAAATATGTTATCACAAATAAGCGAAAAGTGACTGACAGTGTTAACAAAGCTATCTTTCAATTTAACTTGCCTTATCTTTGGTTTAACTTGGCAGCAGGTGTAAGCCTTCAATAAAGTCATTTATAATAATTCAATATGTAAAAATGATCAGCTAGTTAGTTATCAATGGTTTTAATAAATGCACGTCCTCCTCTCTCGTCATTAAAAACAAATGTAATGATCAAAAAGGACTACAAACTAGAGATTCAATTGATTTTCTGTTCTGAAAAGGTGACTTTATTATTGGAAACCATTTTTTGAGAAAGGTTTTCAGTAAAATTACTTACAGGATATTTGTAATCATACAATTGGCAGAAATGTGCTTCCATACATAATTGCGGCTAGTTTTCAGGGCATACTATTAGGAACAATTTCCTTTAATAGTTCACTTAGTAGGCTCTATTATCGGCTCAGTAACTTATTTCACGTTAATAAAGGCTTACTGTGTGACAGGACAAAACAGAAACACCGGGTTTGATCATTAACATGAGAGTTGAAGCACAGAAATGTAAGGAAATAAGCCAAATAATATTCTTACCTCATCGTTTATTAATGTTCTCGTCGCTGTTTCCCTTCAACTTCAACGAGATAAAGTTAATTTCCTTTTATGTTTTTAATCGCCCAGCTTCCCTTATCGTTTTCGAGAGCTCTTAAATACACTTTTGCCGTTTACATCCGGGTAAAAATGTCGAAATGATGTCGTAAAAACAGTATTTTCTTCCATAAAAAACAGACGTTAGAAAGTCTGCGTCTGGCTCTGGGTGCGAGCGAGTCTGTGTGAGGTGGTTGGAGCGCGAGGCAGGTGAATGCGGGGGCGTGCACGCGAGAGCTCTGGTCCTCCTGTTCAAATATGAAGAGGTAAACAGAGATGGAGAGGAAGGTCAAAGGGCACACTGTCTGCAGGTGTTTTGTCTTAAAACGAAGTACACTGCATACTTAAAAAGACACTTGAAGTGGATTTAAGGCTTAGTTTGTTTGAACTATAGTCTTAGGAATCAAAAGGTTGCTGGTTCGAGTCCCACAACCGACCAGGAGGGCTGCATGCTGAGGCTAAATGTCACTTTATTTGCAGTGTTGTTGCAAAGGGGCTCTATACTGCTCATTTTCAGGTTCATATTAGCATTTTGTGTCTACTGTGACAACAAAAGGACAAAAAAAACTTAAACTTAAAGTGAGAACAGTCTTTGTATTACATCAAATGAAAAAAGAGAAACAGTAAACGACACACTATTGGAAAACCTTCAAGGTAAACATAATATATCCTCCTCTCTGAGTTTATCTCTCCTCTGTGTACCCCTGTGCGTCTTTTTCATTCAAATCAAACATGTTTATTGGTGTAGTAATATGTCCCTATATTGCCAAACAACTTATTTTACAACATCTGCAAACACACACACACTACACTCTGCAGTCACGATGGTGCAGCTGCAGGGTTCAGTGCCAATTATAACAGGGATACATTTACTCAAGAAGAAAACTTAAGAGTAATTTGAAGGTGATTGTCCTTTACTTGACTATTTTCATTTATTTCATACTTCAACTCCACTACATTTCAGATGGAAATAGTGTAGAGGATAAGACTTAATTGATCATGAAGGGTACATTCAGATGTCATATGCATAAAACGGACAAGTCAAATCAAGCAATCTGATTGTTTCTTAGCCGCGATATAATGAGCGTATATCACGGGTAGAATTGTAGTTACTTTTCACAACAAGTCAGTATCCCTCCGCGTCTGAGAAAAGCGACAACCGTTACGTTACAACTGTTACATTACGTCCGTTAAGAAACTAACTAACTAACTAACAAAGCTTAAGATGGAAACATATAAGGGATAATGTGCAGGAAGGACTTATTGACCGTTGTTAAAGGACGCTCACATCTGCAGAAAGAAGTCCGGTCGATTGAACTGTATACAGTTGGGCTGAAAGCAAACTGCCTGTCGTGAGCTATTGCTTAAGTATATAAGCACTGCACTACATATAAGTTATAAAAAACGATCTCCACCATTTAAGTGTTAAGTGACACATACATTGACGTAATTATAATTCAATATGGAGTATATTAATCTGAAATTGGTCATAATTACAACATTTACGTTATATTTTTTATGCTTGTACTTTGGATTTTGATATATTTAATGCAGGATTTGTTGTTGTATTTCTTCACTGCAGTATTGCTTTTTGTTCTGAAGTGAATATCTGATAACCTTTTCACTACTTGGAATCCGGATAGATCCTAAACAAATAAATACCAGCAAGATACGGACAGTTAAATGTGCACAAAGGCAACAGGAAATCAAACAGCTAAATAAAGAGTCAATAGAACAATATGGTGGCTACACAGGAATGTTACAGGCCAAGCTTTCTCGTCATCTATTTATCCGCCTCTATAACCTATAATATGCTCCAAAAAAACATTACTTTAACCAATATCTGGTTACAATAAGTAGTTTGTTTGAAGTTAAGTTGAGAAAAGTACAGTCTACAAGACCACTAAACCGGCACAAAACGAGGCTTAACAACTCTGCATTTTGAGTGTCTTGCTCCTCTCTTTTTACATGTGTTTCCAGAGGCCAATAGTGTTATGATCCGTAAAAGCCTTCCTGTACTTTTCTGTTGTTGTTAAATATGGAAATCAGTTAGTTACAATGCCACAAAATACCTACAGCCACCACTCACTCACTGAATGTATGTCACTCTATTTTAAAACTTCTGCAGAGGTGAATTTAGACGTTGAAGGGCAAGTCCATTGAGTGCATTGCCTGGAGACAATTCTCAGGTTGTTCTCAAAATAGATGTGCGGTATATTTTCACCATTGTTCACAAACTCACCTGACTGGTTTACATGTCTATTTATTAGAGGGATGCAACCTAACCTTCCTCTGTGAAGATACAACACATGCATTGGGTAGTAACAATTATTCAATTATTATTATTATTATGCTCTGAACAAGCAAAGAGGAAGAAAAGGACGGTAAACAAAATATGAAAAGAAGGGTTAAAATACATAGAAATAAAATATGCAGTCTCAAAAATGTGCAGATGAATTCATGCAGAACGACTTTATTTTTTTACCATTTTGGAAACAACCTTAACTGAGAAAGATCTTACCGATAGGCTCTTTTTAGTTAAGTGATCTTTACTAAGTGTCTTACAGCAACAAATCAAAGAGGCTCACTGAGTTAATATACTACAGACTTCACTCAAAGAATAATCTTATTGAATCTTTAATTCACTCATTTTACTATAAAATATATGAACAGTCTTCAAAAATAAATAAACTATTAAAAATGTTCTCATTTTTGGCTTTAAACGTCTTGGCGAAACATGGATGTATCCTTAAAAACAGAATACAATTGAAGTTTACATTATATTTACTGCATACTTATAAGAGTGTAATCTTACCTGTGTACTTCCAGAGTGAATTGTGGTGAATGGCGCCCTCTTTTGGACATTGTCATTAACAGCTGTACAATTTATGCTTAATTTATTGTCAATTAATTATCTGAATGAATAAATGGAAATATATTGTCTTAAAATGTACAATGACTAGCATTCACAGTCAGAGCAAAACTAAGCTAGATACTTCCAATACTTATTAATAATGTCCCAGCTAACTGTGTCATATGTGTACTCTACTACTCTGTTTAATATGTGTACTCAAACTACTTAGAGTGATCCATAAAATGTATTATTAATCTTACCATTATATTTGCTGGCATTAGCATTATTAGCATTAGCATTAGCATAGCATACCAACGGAGAGAGACTAATTTATGGCAACACAAAAAAAAAACATGGGAGCGGTGGAGATGAGGAGGTGTCGGCGTTCTGGCGATTTACTCGGAAGGCTTCAGTAGAAGCTGCTGGGAGTCCCTGCAGCTTCTAGTAAACCCAAAGCAGCAGAAGAAGAAGTGACGTCAGCGCCTTCATTTGCGTAATCTTCCCTCAGGGACTTATTTCGGTGTGAACGCGATCTGTACATAGTGCCATGGGGGTACTAAGTACTGGGAACTAAGTACGACAAAGTACTTGGCGTGAAAGTGGCTAATAACGAAAAAAAGAAAAAATGCTGAGTATTTTCGTTTTTTGGCTTTTGAAAAATCAAACTGAGAAAATGTACACGGACCATGATCCTATCCGTGACATACAGATCTTAACAAATACCCGCTGCCTATACCCGATACCTGTACTGTAGATCTATCATGAATTTCTCATGATCTCCTGAGATATAGCCTTCACAGGAATGAAATGGTTTAAGCACCGGATTGGCAAAATAGGAGAGTCTGTAAACCAGTCTGCTCTGATCTATGAATTAATGTCCGTGACTCTCAGAGTAGGCCTACCTACTAATTCAAAAGAACTCCCGATCACGTATTTGCACCGTAGCCCGAATTTTTGTTAGGTTAAATGGTTCGAAAGTTGGTATCGACTCCTAGAACCCATTGAGGCCAACTAAAAAAAAACTTTACAAGGACTGCCTGCCGTTTTTTCAGGGTTATAATATATTAATTTGCTTTATTTATTTTTGTTAATGAATTAACACAACAATAACCAACTCATTTATTTCACCAATAAATCTTTTCTAATTTGTTTTAATGCTTCCTTTTTCTATAAATTTTTACGTCTAACAGTCAAAAAAACTCTGACTCGAGGTAAAGAATAAAAGGAGTGCCTACCGTTTTTTTCAGACTGTAATATGCTAAAATTTTATTTTTTGTATAGTACCGAACTATTACTCATTCTTTTACAAAAATATTTTGGTGTGTCCGAAGGCCAAAGGTTCTGAGGCTTGCATGAGTTTTTCTGCACGACGGTCCGTGCTTTGGTATGATGTCATCATTATCTTTATGTAACGAAAATTTTAGCACAGCACAACCACTTGTGCTATTTACAGCACTGAATATTGTGCTTTAGGGCACCTGACCCCAAACCAATGTGTAACAGAGGTTATTTTTGTAAAATTCTAAATGGTGCAAAAAAACTTCGGCCCTTTTAACACAAAAAGATCGGGACCCATTACAGAATGCTGTCCCGACGGTATGTAGCGGGTTTTTCGAGATTTTTTGGATTGTACTTGGACTTTCCATTTTGAGCGTCCCGTTTTTCAGGTGATCTGAGTCTGATTTAACAAAAACAAAAGTAATATTTCCACGTCGGCAAGAACCATTTCATGCCTCGGGGATTTCCCTGTACTTCTTTTTCTTTTTTTTTTGTCGCTCTTTTTTTTTCAGTCCTATTGCCACAATCATATAGCACGCGATGCTCTATGAGTTGAGAGCCACGCGTGCCTTATGAAAGACCACTCCTGCTAAAATTTGAAAGGAGCACGCGATGAAAAAAAAAAAACACTTTCAATGGCCACAGGTTCCCCCTCACTTTCTGTAGTCCTCTGTTGGTTAAAGTAACGTCTGACAATAACAAATGCACCCCATTTTACTGTACGTATTGTAATAAACACTACTATATAAAGACATGAGTCTGAAGGTGAAAATTCCTTTAAAGCCAGTTCCCCACCACCAGTGAGGTACTCCCGTACGCCCCTGCACATTGAGTCTCTTCTCGTCGTGGTCGCGAGTTTCTCCAGGTAAAATAGCGTGCGGAATGAGACACAAAATGGAAAGTAAGCTTGTCGACAATTTTCTACACTGGTGTCGAACAATGCAAAATTGGTGTAGTGTGGAGATGTGTGTAGCTTTGA